ATTGGCCAAGTGGCAGCATCAGTGGGCTCAAGCGTGGCAACAATAGTGAAGTTGGTCCAGGACTGGGCAGTGTTTTTTTCTGCTGTGCATAAGGTCACTATCGGTCAGTACCCACTTGATGGCACCCAACAACAACAGTGATATTAATTGGTCTTCCTTGTAAGCGTATGGATATTATCCTATCATAGACAGAGTTATACTTCAAGACAGATCTTAGTATGTTCTTCTTGATGATGAATGCAACACCATTCCTCTTCAATTTGCCATTCTCAGCATAGTAAACCATGTGGTTGTCAGATTCAATATGGTCAATACCAGTCCATTTTAACTCACTAATGCCTAGGATATTAATGCTTATGCATTTCATTTCATTTTAAATAATTTCCAATTTTTCTAGATTCAAACTTCGTACATTGCATGTTAACTTATTAATGGATGTTCACAGCTGTTTCTCTTCATTTGACTTGGCTAGCAAATGAATGTCCCAAGGGCTTTATTCCATTTGCATCATCACAGTCAGCTCTACTTTGAGGAGGTGATTCTTCCCTAGTCATATTGTGAGCGTCTTCCAACCTGAGGGACTCCCCTTCTGGCACTATATCTGACAATGTTCTGGTGCTCTTTATCATGTTTCAATGGTCAATATTCTGGTGTTTCACTGATGTCCAGGTTTTGTTTTTGTTGTGTGCCATCAAGTCAGTTCCGATTCATAACAACCCTGTATATGGTTTTTGAAGAGCAGCTGGTGAGCTTGACCCACCAACCTTGCCTTGAACTTGCAGTTCGAACCAACCTTGAGGTCGAGTGCTTGTTTTACAGCACCACACCTTGAAAGTCTATTGTGAACAAGAAGTATTCTAGAGATGCAGAATGTCTTAGTTCCCTAACATAGCTATGGCAAAAGTAACACAAGTGGATGGCTTTAAACAAGATCAGAAATAATGTTCTCGCAGTTCTGGAGTGTTAAGGGCCAAATTGTGTCTTGACCATGTCTATTTCTTTTGTGAGTCTCTCCTAGTCTCTGATGTCTGCTGACAATCTTTGGGATTCCTTTGCTTGTAGAGGATTCTCACATCTGTCTGCCCTGGTGTGTGTGTGTGTGTGTGTGTGTGTGTGTGTGTGTGTGTGTTTGCTGCTCTTGTGAGAACTCAGAAGTGACTAGATTTAGGATCCACCCTGCCCTACATTGACCTCACTTGACTAATTGATTATATTATTAGATTGCATTGTGGAAAGTTATTACATTAAGTTTTAGTACATTAGATTATCTCCACAGGCATTGGGGATAAGATTCCAATGTATATTTTGGGAAGACATAATTAAATTCCTAACAGAGGACATTTGGTTAAGGTTTCTACTAGGCAAAGTTACATGTAGGTTCATTGTGCAGGATGAAAGAAATCAAATTCTGATCGCCTACTTGTGGATACGCCAAATCTGGCAGGATGCATATCTCAAATGGGACCAAGAGCTGTATGATGGTCTAGACTCCATCAGAATCCCCAGCGACTTGGTGTGGAGGCCAGACATTGTCCTATACAACAAGTAAGTGCAAATTAGACACTTGTCAGTAATGAACTTCAACCTGTTGATTGAACAGAATATAAACATGATAAAAATGTCTTTACAAAAGGACTGTTTAAAACATGCATGGTTTTAAGTATCAATCCATGTTCCTACTGTTGTTGTTGTTATGTGCCATCGAGTTGGTTCTGACTCATAGAGTCCTGTATAGGGTTTCTGAACATGTAAATCTTTGCAGGAACAAAGAACCTCATCTTTCTCCTGAAGAACGGCTGGTTGGGCCCAAACCACCAACCTTATGGTTCTCAGTAGAGTGCATATGATAAGGAGCCACCGCACTCCCTGCCCTAGGTTACTATTATTTCATGCTCTAAATTTTATGACAATTAAAACTTAGAGCTTGAAGGAGATTCTTGAGTCCAATCAATTTAAATTATCCCCGTTTCAGGTGAAAAATTGCAAGTCTTCCCTTGGCCAAGATCATGTATTAAAAATAATGATACGGATAGAATGAAATCAGATTGGCTAGCTAGAGGCTAATTTGGATCTTGTGGAGGGTAGAGGACAAATTTGATCAGAGGATCATCAGCTGGTCTCTGATCATCTATCAATGGATAAATCAAGTTTATGGTCTTAAACTGGAATGTGCCCATGAATAATCATTTGGAATCTTGTTAAAATACCGATTCAGATTTAGTAGGTCTAGGGTGGGGCTTGCATTTCTAAAATACCTCCAGAGAATGTTGGTACTGCTGGTCTATGGACCGACCACACTTTGAGAAGGAAGCAGATCACTCCATCACAAAATCAAGTTAAACTCTTCCACCTATTGTTGAAGGGGTTTCTCTCTTATTTTATTCTGGAACCCATTTCAGTGAGCTGTGAAATGCTCTCTGACTCAGAACAAGATAAATGACAGATGGGAGTTAAGGGGGCATCCTCTGGGCTTCTGGTGGGCATGAATTTCCTTACGGGAAGCAACTCTGGTAAGTTAAGCCTGGATTTTAGTCAGTTTTACTACTTACTCAAAGAGTTTTTGCCAAGAATCATGACCTCTTGAATCACAGCCCTGATTCTGCTGTCCATTTCTCACTCTGAGTAGCCAAAGGAGTCTTCCAGATCCCTCCCCAGGAAAGATAAAGGTGGTCTCACAGTCCAGCTCCTTCCCCATTTTCCTGCTCTCTCTTGCTCATTTGTTCTCTCTTTCTCTCTCTCAAATACACACACAAATCAATAAATGAACCACATTGTCAATTACCTCTCTCTCACCCACTTGGTGCAAGAGAGTAATCTCAAAATATAATTAACATAAATCTCTAAAAAGAATTCTAAAAATACTCAATTCTCCTTGGAAAACAAATAGAAGACTGGTCCTCTTCTCTTTCCTGCTTTGACTGGCTGAGACAGTGACTAGTTCTTACTGAAATACTTTTTTGCAAGCTAAGATGATGTATGTGTAGGTTTCCTAGGGCTACCATAACAAAGGACCACAAATTATGTGGCTTGAAATATCAGAAAACTATTATCTCACAGTTCTGACTGCCAGAAGTCTGGAATCAAGACGTTGGCAGGGCCATGCTCTGAGGAGAAATCCTTCAGTGCCTCTTCTAGCTTCTGATGATCCCAGGTGGTCCTTGGATAGTCACAGCATAATTCCAATCTTCTCCCCCATTTCCACATGGTGTCTTCCCTCTCTGTCTGTCTTCACATGGTGTTCTTTTCCTTGTCTATCTCTTCTTTGTTTTATATGAACACTGTTGTTGTTGTTAAGTGCAGTCGAGTCAATTCGACTGAGGTTTCAATTCTTTCAAGGAGCAGAAAGCCTCATCTTTATCCTGCAGAGCAGCTGGTGGACTCGAACCACACACTTTGAAGTTGGCAATCCAGTGCTGATCATATGGAGCCACCGTGCCCTCCATATGGGCACAGTTGTTGTTGTTAAGTGCTGCCAAGTCTGGTCCGACCCACCAAGACTCTGTATAGGGTTTCCGAGGAGCAGCTGGTGAGTTTAAACAGCCGACCTTGCGGTTCAAACCAACCTTGCCACACCAGGACTCCCATATGGACACTGTTGCTGTTGTTGTTGTTAAGTGCTGTTGAGTCTGTTCCTACCCATAACGACCCTGTGTAGTGTTTCTAAGGAGCGACTGGTGAGTTTGAATCTCTGACCTTGCAGTTCAAACTGATCTTGTGGTCCAGTGCTTATCCTACAGGGCCACACCAGAACTCACTTGTTGTTGTTGTTGTTGTTATGTGCTGTCGAGTCGGTTCCGACCCATAGCGACCCTGCACAGGGTTTCCGAGGGTGTAAATCTTTACAGGAGTAGAATGCCTCATCTTTCTCCCGCGGAGCAGCTGGTAGTTTCGAACCACTGACCTTAAGGTTCACAGCCCGATTCGTAACCACTACGCTACCAGAGCTCACTAGTCATATTAAATTAAGGGCCCATTCTACTCTGGTTGCTGTTCTTGTTGTTAAGTGCCTTCAAGTCAGTCCTGACTCTTACTGACCTGTATAGAGTTTCTGAGGCTTTTCAAATCTTCCTGGGAGCAGAAAGCCTTATCTTTCTCCTGGGGAGCAGCTGACAGGTTTGAACCACAGAACTTGTGGTTTGCAGTCCATTGCCTATTGTATGAAGCCACCATAGAACTTCATAAATTACATCTGCAAATTACATCTTATTTCCAAATAAGATGACATGCAGAGGTATGGAAGATTAGAACTTGAACACATCTTTTTGGTGAATACAATTTAACCCATAACATATGACAATCTAAATTAAGCCTCCCCCAGTACTTCTTATCGTTGTTGTTGTCAAGTGCCATTGAGTCAGTCTGACTCATAGCAACCTTGTATAGGGTTTCTAATGAGTAGCTGGTGAGTTTGAACCACCAACCTTGCGTTTCAAACTGACTTTGGGTCCAGTGCTTATCCTGCAAATCCATGAGCTCATATAAATCTACTGTGACTTTGATAAATTCTGTCCTCAAATTCCCCTCCAGCTTACTGGCCTTGAAATGTGTCAGTTTTATTTCCCATCCCTTTGTTCATGTAGAACCTTTCACCACACTGACTAATCAGCTTGTTCCTACTCTTCTTGGTTGACTCATGAGTCTTCTGTTGTCCTGTGATGGGCAATTCCATTTCTGAATTTTTCCTCCTTTGCTTCTCCTTGTCAGTGACTTCAGAGTTTCACCATATTAAAGGAGTGCCAAGTGAAGCATATATATTATGAAGAAATGTGTGATGACCTGGAGTTAGAAAACTAAAAGGGAAGAACATGCTCAGCATTTCTCAAGCTGAAAGAATTGAAGAAAACATTCAAGCCTCACATTGAAATATTGAAAATTTTTATGGGCAAAATATAGAATGATGCAGGAAACATTCAGAGAAGATGGAAGGAATATACAGAGTCACTGTACCAAAAAGAATTGATTGATACCCAACCATTTCAAGAGATAGCATATGATAAAGAATTGATGATACTGAGAGAGGTCTAAGCTGCACCAAGGCATTGGCAAACAACAGGCTCCAGGAACTGATGGAATACACATTGAAATGTTTCAGCAAACTGATGCTGCTCTGAAGGCACTCACTCATCTATACCAAGAAATTTGGAAGACAGCTTCCAGGTCAACCAATTGGAAAAGATCCATACTTGCACCCATTCCAAGAAAGGTGACCCGATATAACACATAAATCATTGACTAGTATTAATATTACATGCAAGTATAATTTTGCTTCAAAGAATTCAAAGAATGCTTGCAGCAGTACCTCAAAAGGGAGTTGCCAGAAATTTAAAGTGGATTCAGAAGAGGACATGGAGCAAGGGATATCATTGCTGATATCAGAGAACCTGGGCTAAAACTAGAGAATACCAGAAAAATGTTTACTTGTGCTTTATTGACTATGCAAAGGCGTTTGACTGTGTGGATCATAACAAACTATAGACAGCATTGTGAAAAATGAGTATTCCTGAAACTTAATTGTGCTTATGAGGAATTGTATATAGACCAAGAGACAGTTGTTAGAATAGAATAAGGGGACACTGAAGGGTTTAAAACCAGGAAAGGTGCACATCAGGGTTGTATCCTTTGACCATACTTGTTTTATTAATTTTTTTACTTTCACCATACTTATTTAATCTGTACACTGAGCAAATAATCTGAGAAACTGGATTATATGAAAAAGAACATGGCATCAGGATTGGAGGAAGACTCATTAACAATCTATCATATGCACAGCAAGTTGGTACAACTCTGCTTGCTGACAGTGACGAAGATTTGAAATACTTACTGATTACAATCAAAGACCATAGCCTTCAGCATGGATTTCACCTCAATACAGAGAAAACAAAAATCCTCACAACTGGACCAATAAATAACATCATAATAAATGGAGAAAGGAGTCCTGGTGTGGTGCTGTAGGATAAGCACTAGGCTGCTAACCAAAAGGTCAGCAATTCAAACCCATCAGTTGCTCTTTAGAAACCATATACAGGATTGAAATAGTCAAAGATTTCACTTTTCTAGGATTCACAATCAACATTAATGGAAGCAGCAGTCAAAACAATCAAATGATATAATAATACATTAGGCAAATTTGCTGCAAAAAACCTCTTTGACATGTTGAAGAACAAAAATGTCACTTTGAGGACTAAGGTTCACCTGATCCAAGCCATGGTATTTTCAATAGTCTCATATGTATTTCAAAGTTGGACAATGAATAAAGAACATTGTAGAAGAATCGATGCATATGAATTATAGTGCAGAAGAATATTGAATACCATGGACTTCCAGAAGAATAAACAAATCTGTCTTGGAAGAAGTACAATCAGAATGTTCCTTGGAAGCAAGAACGGTGGGACTTCATCTCTTGTACTTTGAACATGTTGTCAGGATGGATCAGTCTCTGGAGAAGGACATCATGCTAGGTAAAAGGAAGGGTCAACACAAAAGAAAAAGACCTCCAACAAGATGGAGTGACACAGTGGCAGCAACAATGGGCTCAAACATAACAA